CGAACTCAGGGCCTCAGGCATGCAAGGTAAGCGCTGTACCACTAAGCCACCTTCCCAGCCCCCTTGTGAAAACTTTTTAATTTGAGCTTTTAAGAAAACTGTGTGTCGGTGCCACTTGCTCACGCCTATCATCCTAGCTACTTGGGAGGCTAAGATCTGAGATGTTGGTTCAAAAGCCAGCCGGGTAAGAAAGTCCATGAGACTCTTATCTACAATGAACCATCAGAAAACTGGAAGTGGCACTGTGGCTCAAGGGGTAGAGTGCTAGCCTTGAGCTGAAGAGCTGAGGGACAGCGCCCGGGCCCAGAGTTCAAGTCCCATGACCAACACATACACACACACACACACACACACACACACACACATACACAAAAGGGGGGTAGTGTAGTTGTAGAAGTGGGAGGGAAGGGATGGTAGGGGAAAAACAAAGGAGGCAACAATGCTTGATAAGAAATGTACTCATTATCTTGCTCATGTAATTGTAACCCCTCTGTACAGTATTTTCACAATAAAAAATGTATTATAAAAACAGGAGGTTCTGATACTGATACTGTGGGAAATCAGCCTTGCCTTGTATAGATGGTCAGCTCTGAATTTTACTATATGAATAAAAGAACTATGAAGATACTAAAGCCAAGTAATAAGGAGAAAAAAGAAAGAAAAGGAAAACTGCGTGACCCATGATGGTTTCTGATTGACCTCAACAATATCAACACAGTGCCTCAGATAACCATAATCAGAAAACTGGTTACATGCACTTACCAACCAACCACAGTGATATGTATTTATACCCTTTCACCTGTTTCTGAGTAAAAGCAGGCCATCTGTTCATAAATGTTATGCCTGTGTGACTGTGGTTAGTAATACATGGGTGCTTATGCTACAAGTTAACATGCTTAAAAGTGTTACTATTGCCTATGAACTATTCTGTTGTCTTTGTTTTGGCTTTGTTGGTCGTGGGGCTTGAACTCAGCCTGGGCGCTGTCCCTCAGCTCTTCAGCTCAAGATGAGTGCTCTACCACTTGAGCTACAGCACCACTTGTGGTTTTCTGGTGGTTCATTGGAGATAAGAGTCTCATGGACTTTCCTGCCCTAGCTGGCTTTGAATGGCGATCTTCAGAGCTCAGGCTCTTGAGTAGCTAGGATTATAGGAGTGAGCCACCAGCACCTGGCTATCCTGTTGTATTTGTGCATGCATGGGCATGTGTGTGCATGTGTGCATGTATGCCAGTACTGTAGCTTGCACTGGAGTTGTTGGGCACTTGCTTGGCTTTTTTCACTGCAGGCTGGCCTTCTACCACCTAAGCCACACCTCAACTCCTGACGTTTTGCCAATGAACTGAAGTTTAGGGTCTCACAGATTTGTCTACGTGGGCTGCTCTCAGATGGCTAATTGGAAATGGAGTCCTGGGGGCTTTTCTACCAGCCCTGGCCTCGAATGGCGATCCTCTAGTTCATAGCCTCCCGCATAACTGGATTAAAGATGTGAATCACCCAGCCTCCCAGTAACAGAGAAATTTCTTCCATTGCACTATTGGTAGATCTGAAGTAGGGGAGGGTGGGGGGAAAGTGTATGGAGGAGGGTAAGAAAATGCTTCCTTTTCTCAAGATTTTAAAAACAAATGATTGGGTTCCCCAGGACAATCGCTTTGAATTCTTCCTGTCTTCACAGATCACCATGAAGTGCGAGCAGCTTTCTGGGCAGGCGGCCCCAGTCTCCAGCCTTGACTAACTTGGGTGCTTGGCCTCCGGGTAAGGGCCTGCGGGTGAGAAGCTGGATAACTTCCTCCCAGGGATGCTGAGACCTGACATCTGTGTGTGTGTGTGTGTGTGTTCCAACCCCTCCCCGGGGCCTTCTGACACAAGCACTGTGACCCACACTCACCCCTAAGCATGGCTGTCTTCACTGAGGGCTGCGTCCTGATAGGTGTCACCTCCACAGGACAGGTGCGTGCTAGCCACCGTATGATTGAGGGGTTTCTAGGGACCCGAGGTTATGTCTGGGTGAGTTCCGGGCTGCGTCACAGGCTGAGGCTTTATGTCCAGGGCTTGGAGGGGGGCAGCACAGTTGACAGGGCCATCTTCAGGGTGGAGTGGGGGGTCCTGAGACCCTCCCCTGTTTCTCAACCCCGGGCATCCAGATCTTACAGGTGTGTGCACACTGGAGTGGACCCCAAAGCATCCTAGCACAGACCCCGCCCCCCTTGCTCTCTACATCAGCTACTGCACGTTCCCACCCAGTCCTTCCTGGGGCCTGACCCTTGATCCCTAACCCCTGCCCACCCCAGCCCCTCACCCACACCACAGCCTCCCCCTCCCCCCTCAGGGAAGGGTCAGCTTTCCTGGACTCAGGTCAGCCTCCCCTCCGTCCCGCTCTGCAACTCCTGAGGCTGTTACGCCGTGACGTCACGCGGTGACATCAGCACCTGTGTACACGCCAAGCCTCACCTTTAACCGTCCCAGCGTGGGGGCCAATCCTGAGGAAGCTTTCAGTTTCAACTTCCCTTCACCCCCCCCACGCAGGAAACCTCCACTCTGATTGGCTGGCATTCGGCTTGCCCGCCCCCATTAGTGGAGAAGCCCCGCCCCAACGTCCTTCCGGGATTGGCTCTGGCTCCCGGGCCCGGCCTCCCATTGGTGCGAAGTGAGCCCTGCGGCGCCGCCCACCGCGGACTCAGCGCCCG